CACCAACCAAAGAATACATAGGCATCCAATATCTAACTGAAAACAATTTATAAACACTGATGCTAATAGGTTAACTTGTAGGCTATTTATTAGACATATATATTTTTAAACATATGTTTACTTACCTTTTTCTTATAACTAGCTTAGAATTTATATGCCACATCACCTTATACATACCCTCTATTTAAAACTCACCAACTTTGTAAGTGCATATGAAAATGTTGATGTCAGCGGGTATGGTGGTATACTCCTATTGTCTCAGCTTCTCAGGAGGCTGAGGCAGGAGGATCATTTGAACCTAAGAGTTCAAGTCTGGGTAACACAGCAAAACTCTGTCTCAAAAAATAATAATTGTTGATGTCTTGCTGATTGCTTTTTTAATTGGAGCATGTCATCCTTTTCAGAGCTTTTCATTATTTATGTAATGAATTAGGTTTTTTTGCTATAAAAATAGGCAATTTGATTAAACAATGAGAAGCCCTAAAAGAAATGCTAATGAAACATTAGGGAAGAGATCATTTCAGAGACCAAAGAGAAAGAAATGCCACCGTGACAAAAAAAACACAAAACAGTAAAACAGAGCCTCTGAACAGTAAAAAGAAAAGAAGCAAGTGTGAAAAAGAAAGTACAGTAGTACTAATCTAAAGAAGTATAGAATGGGGCCAGGTGCAGTAGCACAGATCAGTATACTTAAAATGATTAAAATGGGCCAGGCACTGTGGCACAGACCTGTAATTCCAGCAACTTGGGAAACTGAGGCAGGTAGATTGCAATTTGAGGTTTCAACCCTTACAACTTACCCAGACCCTGTTTCAGGGTGTAACTCAGTGGTAGAGCATCCCTGGGTTCAATCCTCAGTACAAAAAAAAAAAAAAAAAAAGCATAGGATGGGAATCGTCAACAAAATTTAATTTATTTTTGGTATTGAAAATACTTGCTGTTAACATCACTGTGATGTGCTGGACTCTGTTCTGATTCTGTATACTTCTCATTCCATCTAATAAATAAATGCCTGCCATATTCAGAAAAAGATAGTTTCCCATATGTTTGGGCTTGTTAATGACCAACTGCAAACAGAGAAGTTAACAAAAATTAGCATTTCCATAAATAAAAGTTAAGATGAATGCAGTTTCTTTAGAAATATTAAAACTTCTCCCAAGTATAGCTAGATTGGTTGATAATAGCATATGATAATGTTTTTCTTTCTTTTTTTTTTTTACTTGCTGATGGACACAATATCTTTATTTTTATTTGTTTATTTTTATGTGGTACTGAGGATCAAACCCAGGGCCTCATGCATGTGAGGCAAGTGCTCTACCACTGAGCTACAACCCCCAGACCCAATGTTTCTTGATTTTAGCTGGATAGATGTATATTTTTTTTTATTTAAACGGTCCTTTAACTGTATTTGTTCATCAATTGTAAAGATATAATTTAAGTTTTATAGTGATAACTCTGAATGAAAATATTTTTATTAATGTTTTATTAAGTTGTGGTAAAATATACATAACAAAATTTGCAATTTTAAACATTTTTAAGTGTTCAATTCAGTGGTAGTAAGTACATTCACAAGATTGTGTAACCATCACCTCTGTTTCATCATCTAAAACAAACACTGTAACCCATTAAGCAATAACTGTCCTCTCCTCAGCCTCTGGCAACTACTATTTTCTGCTTTCTGTCTCTTATGAATTTAACTGTTACAGGTACCTCACACAAGTGAAATCGTATAGTAATCATCATTTTATATCTGACTTAATGTTGATTAGAATAATTTTTTAAAAATTCATCAGTGTTGTAGCAAGTATCAAAATTTTATTTTGTCTTATGGCTGAATATTATATATATATACCAAATTTGTTTTTTCATTTGTCTGTTGGTAGACACTTAGATTTTTCTACTTTTTGACTGTTGTGAATATGCTTCTTTGAACAGTGTTACAAGTATGTTTTGGTACCAGTTTCTAGTTCTTTTGAGTATATACTTGTGAGTACAATTGTTCAGTCATGTGGTAATTCTGTTTAAATTTCTGAAGAATCTCCAAACTGTTTTCCAAAGCAGCTGTGCCATTTCACATTCCCACCAGTTTCTTTTCAGGACTGAGGATGTAACTCAGGGCCTTGTACTTGCTAGGCAAGGGCTCTGTTACTGAGCTGAATCGCCAACCCCAGTTCCACTTTCTTTATATCCTTTTCAATGCTTGTAATTTTCTGTTTTCAGAACTATAGTCATCCTAATGGGCATGAAGTAATATGTTATTGTGGGTTTGATATGCATGTTCCTAATGACTAATGATGAGCATCTTTTCACATGCTTGTTGGTTATCTTCTTTGGAGAATGTTTAGTTAAATCCTTTGGCCATTTAAAAATTCTAATTTCATTTTTGAATCATGATTTCTTAAGCTAGGGTATGTAGACACATTCTAATGGAAGGGGGTCAAGTCCTCTTGGTTTCAACTTCTCCTTTGGGAGCCCAGGCCTCTCTGTTTCAATAATACTGCCTCCTTCCTTTATCTTGGTAGTCACTTTTTGCTATCCCTAATCTCTTGACCACTTCACTGGTACCTGTTTAGCCCTTCACTCTTTCATTGGTGATATATCAAAATCTTTGCATTAAATTCTCTCTTACTGTATGATATGATTTTTGTTATCCTGGGTAGACCTTGACACAGCATAAGCTCCCTCATTTTATTTTATTTATTCATTTATTTTGGTATCAGGGATTGAACCCAGGGGTGCTTAACCACTGAGCCACATCTCCAGCCATTTTTTATATTTTACTTAAGAGACAGGGTCTCACGGAGTTACTTAGGGCTTCACTAAATTGCTGAGGCTGGCTTTGAACTCACAATCCTCCTACCTTAATCTCCTGAGTGACAGGGATTACAGATGTTGCCACCATTCCCAGCTCCTTCATTTTGTATTGGGAAAAAACTTGGACCTTTTTTCTTCCAAATACATTTTTTTATTACTTGGTATTCAAGGGAAAACTGTACTGGAATTCCTGAAACTAAGAAGGAGGATCACAACAAGTTCAAGGCCAAACTCAGTAATTGTGCAAAAGTCTGTCTCAAAAACAAGATCCTGGGTTCAATCCCCAGAACCTCAAAAAAAAAAAAAAAAGAATTTCTCCGAATTCATGTAGCTAGTGGGCAGCCAGATGTTGTGAGACCATAATACCTTGATTCTCAGTCCCTTTCTCATTCTAACAAATTAAAACTTTCCAGCCAGACACATAGTGGCACATATCTGTAATCCCAGAAATTTGTGAGGCTGAGGCAGGAGGATTGTAAGTTCTAGGTCAGCCATAGCAATTTAGCAAGGCTCTAAGCAATGTAGTGTAACCCTGTCTCAAAATAGGGATGTAGCTCAGTGGTAAAGTGCTCCTGGGTTGAATTCCCAGTACTGCTAGAAAAAAGAAAGAAAGAAAACTGAGGGGAAAAGTATGTTGAAGACAGTCCAGAATTAAAACTGTTCTCTACGGTTTTTTTAGGGTGTTAGTCTCTTTGTCAGATACAATATAATGATTGTCTCCTATTGAGACAGTTCAGATCTAGGGTAACCCCAACTCAAGTTGAAGGGTTTCACATGGTAGTTTTTCTTTGAGTTACCTGTAGTAAGCAGAGCTTCTCTTAAAGTCCTTCATGAATACCTACAGTATGCTGAATATTAGGGATGATACAAGTTTCATCACATGACTTTTAAGGTCAATGACATTTACAGATTAATTAATAATTTGATAATGGAGAAAAATTCATAGTTAGAAGTAAAATACTGGACATGATTACTTTCCAGGGAAAATAGAAGAAGGCATTTGACATATGATCTGGATGATAAAGATGAATTGTAATTCAGAAAGAAACAAAGAGGAAGCAGGAAGTAAAAGTAAAGAGTTCGTGGAAAGAAAAAACTAACTCAGTACCCAACTGGGTACACTGATATGTTATCTCAAATTACCCTCCAGAAAACCTTATGAGCTTAGCCATTTTAGAGGTAAAGAAACTGATCCCAGAAAGTTAAGTAATATGAACAAATCACAAGTCATTATTTGTTGGAAACTTGAATTAAGGGGGTATATTAACTAGGTAGTTGCTTACAGTGAATGTGCAATTTAAATGGTACCAATTTCATTATATTATTTATAAGACTGCAGAGGAGTCCTATATACAGAGGGAAGGTTATTCTTAGGGACTGTAGTATATATGTTGGGAAAATAAAGAATACATAAACTTTGGAGGTGCTGGTTACCAAACTTCAAGAGAGGATGTTTTCCCAAATGGTGCCTGTACATTTTCCTATAATACCCAGGAGTAGCACCCTCTTTTTTCATAAATGTTAGATAGTTGATGATTGGTGTGTGTGTGTGTGTGTGTGTGTGTGTGTGTGTGTGTATTTTGTTGGGATCATACCAAGGGCCTCAAGTACACTCGACAGGCTCTCTACCACTAAATTATACCCCAGCCCAGGAGTCATAATTTAAAGCAGCCCAAACTAACAGTGTCACAGACTCCAACTGTCCTGAGTGATTAAATAAAGGTCAATTCTAAATCTTCAAATGCCTTGTATTCCCTCTATGACTGAAATGCAGATGACAAGCATACAGTTAGAGAGACAGACAGACAAGCATGTAAATGATGATTCTAAAGAGTGTACTGCTGCGGGGCTGGGATTGTGGCTCAGTAGCAGAGCAATTGCCTCACAAGTATGAGGCACTGAGTTCCATCCTCAGCACCACTTTAAAATAAAGGTATTGTGTCCATCTACAACTAAAAAATAAATAAATAAAAGAGTATACTGCTGGTAGTCTTCTCATAAGAATAGTTTATAACAAGCTTAAGTACTACATTTTCTTCAACTCCTTATTATAATCACACATTTTTCAGGTAGCTTAAATCCTATAGGGAACAAATGGGATGAGAATAAACAGGGAAAAAAAGAAGAAGAAGAATAAACAGGTCTCCACTGTTAAATAAATCTACTACTATATTTGTTATTCTCAGGAAATTACTACAATCAAGGAGAGATTCGTAAGAAAGAACTTTTGCAGAGCTGTGATGTTTTGGGGATTCCAACCTCCCGTGTTATGATTATTGATAACAGGTAATTTATCTTTTTTTTTTTTTAAACACAAGTGGAGCACAACTTTTCATTCCTCTGGTTGTGCACGATGCAGAGTGGAATGCAGATGTCCGTCTCATTCCATCATCTTTTCCACCCCCACTCCCTCTCCCTCCCCTCTGCCCAATCCAAAGTTTCTCCATTCTTCCCCCTCCCCCTTTATAAATCAGTATTCACTTATCAGAGAAAACATTTGGCCTTTGGTTTTTAGGGATTGGCTTACATTGCTTATCATATTCTCCAAATCCATCCATTTACCCACAAATGCCATAATTTCATTCTTCTTTTAAGGCTATGTAAAATTCCAGTGTGTATGTGTGTGTGTATGTGTTTTGTTAGGGATCATACCAAGGGTCTCAAGTACACTCTACAGGCTCTCTACCACTAAATTATACCCCAGCCCAGGAGTCATAATTTAAAGCAGCCCAAACTAACAGTGTCACAGACCCCAACTGTCATGAGTGATAAAATAAAGGTCAATTCTAAATCTTCAAATGCCTTGTATTCCCTCTATGACTGAAATGCAGATGACAAGCATAGAGTACACACACACACACACACACACACACACCACAGTTTCTTTATCCATTCGTCTACTGAAGGGCATCTAGGTTGGTTCTACAGTTTAGGTATTGTGAATTGAGCTTCTATAAACATTGATGTGGCTGCGTCACTGGAGTATGCTGATTTTAAGTCCTTTGAGTATATACCAAGGAGTGGGATAGCTGGGTCAAACTATGGTTCCATTCCACGTTTTCTAAGGAATTTCCATGCTGCTTTCCAGAGTGGTTGCACCAGTTTGCCATCCCACCAGCTTATGGTTGCTTGTATTTTCTTTTTGACTAGAGTGAAATAAGATCTTAGAGTACTTTTGATTTGCATTTCTCTGATTGCTAGAGATGTTGAACATTTTTTCACATACTTGTTGATTGATCATATTTCTTCTTCTGTAAAGTGTCTGCTTAGTTCCTTAGCCCATTTATTGATTGGGTTATTCGTTTTTTTGATGTTAAGTTTTTTGAGTTCTTTATATATCCTGGAGATTAGTGCTCTAACTGGATGTGTGTGTGATAAAGATTTTCTCCCATTCTATAGGCTCTCTCTTCACATTATTGATTGTTTTCTTTGCTGAAAAGAAGCTTTTTAATTTGAATCTATCTCATTTATTGATTCTTGATTTTATTTCTTGTGATTTTTTTAGGAGTCTTGTTAAGGAAGTCAGGTCCAAAGCTGACATAATGAAGATTTGGGCCTATTTTTTCTTCAGTTAGGTGCAGGGTCTCTGGTTTAATTCCTAGGTCCTTGGTCCACTTTGAGTTGAATTTTGTGCAGAGTGAGAGATAGGGATTTAATTTCATTTTGCTGCATATGGATTTCCAGTTTTCCCTACACTATTTGTAAAGAGGCTATCTTTCCTCCAATGTATGTTTTTTCCCCTTTGTCTAGTATGAGATAACCGTATTTATGTGGGTTTGTCTGTGTGTCCTCTATTCTGTACCATTAGTCTACATATCTATTTTGGTGCCAGTACCATGCTCTTTTTGTTACTATAGCTCTGTAGTGTAATTTAAGGTCTGGTATTGTGATGCCTCCTGCTTCATTCTTCTTGCTAAGAATTTCTTCGACTATTCTGGGTCTCTTACTTTTTCCAAATGAATTCCATGATTGCTTTTTCTATTTCTATAAGGAATGTCATAATGTCATTGGGATTTTAATTGGAATTGCATTAAATCTGTATAAAGTATAATACTTTTGCTTTTTTTTTTTTTTTTTTAGTAGTGCTGGGGATTGAACCCAGGGACTTGTACATGTAAGGCAAGAACTCTACCAACTGAGCTATATCCCCTGCCCCTATATAACGCTTTTGGTAGTATGGCCATTTTAATAATATTAATTCTGCCTATCTAAGAACAAGGGAGTACTTTCTATCTTTTGAGGTCTTCTTTAATTTCTTTAGTGTTCTGTAGTTTTCATTGTAGAGGTCTTTTACCTCTTTTATTAGGTTGATTCCTAAGTTTTTGTTTGTTTGTTTGTTTTGGTGTTGTTTGTTTGTGGCTATTGTAAATGGGGTAGTTTTCTAATTTTCTTTCACTGATGTACAGAAATGCCTTTGATTTATGGGTGTTGTTTTTATACATTGCTACTTTGCTGAATTAATTTATCAGTTCTAGAAGTTTTCTGGTGGAATTTTTTGGATCCTCTAAATATAGAATCATGTGGTTAGAAAATAGTTATAGTTTGAGTTCCTTTTTTCCTAATCATATTCCTTTAATTCCTTTTCATCTGCTTAATTGCTCTGGCTAGAGTTTCAAGTACTATGTTGAATAGAAGTGGTGAAAGAAAGCAGGCATCCCTATCTTGTTCCAGTTTTTAGAGCAAATGCTTTCAATTTTTCTCCATTTAGAATGATGTTGGCCTTGGGCTTAGCATAGCTAGCTTTTACAATGTTGAGATATGTTCCTATTATCCCTATTTTTTTTTTTAGTGTTTTGAACTGTATTTTGTCAAATGCTTTTTCTGCATCTATTGAGATGTTCATGTGGTTCTTATTTTTAATTTTGTTGATATGATGAATTATGTTTATTGATATCCATATGTTGAACCTACCAACCTTGCATCCCTGGGATGAACCCCACTTGATCGTGGTGACTATCTTTTTTAATATGCTTTTGGATGCAATTTGCCAGAATTTTATTGAGAATTTTTATATCTATGTTCATCAGCGATATTGGGCTGAAATTTTCTTTCCTTGATGTGTCTTTGTCTGGTTTTGGTATCAGGGTGATAATAGCTTCATAGAAAGAGTTTGGAAGGGCTCTCTCCTTTTCTATTTCATGGAATAATTTAAGAAGTACTGGTATTAGTTCTTCTTTGAAGGTCTTGTAGAACTCAGCTGAGAATCCATCTGGTCCTGGGCTTTTCTTGGTTGGTAGGCTTTTTTTTTTTTTTAATTTTTTATTGTTGGTTGTTCAAAACATTACATAGTTCTTGACATATCATATTTCACACTTTGATTCAAGTGGGTTATGAACTCCCATTTTTACCCCGTATAGGTTGGTAGGCTTTTGATGATGTCTTCTATTTCCTTTCTTGAAATTGAACTGTTTAAATTGTATATGTTGTCTTGATTCAGTTTGGTTAGATCATATGACTCTAGAAATTTATGTCTTTGAGATTTTCCATTTTGTTGGGAGTATAATTTTCAAATAATTTCTAATTATCTTCTGTATTTCAGTAGTGTCATTGTGATATTGTAATTTATCTTTTAATAATGTAAAAATTAGCAATAAATATGTAGTTGTACATAAAAAAAAACAAAAAAATAGTATGGGTAGATAAAAACATCTTATTGACAATTCTACTTAAAACTATTTCACATTTATTTTTAAATGACATATGGAAATTACTTTCTTCAACATGTGTTCAGATGTTTTTGTCTTGATATAGATATTTCTCTATATATCTATGTCTTCAAAATTTTTTTATTATAATTTCATAACCACACAAAAGTATAAAGAACAGTACCATGAACTCCCATATGCCTATACTACCTAATCCCAGTAATATCCCACTAATTTGCTTTACTTGCTTCAACTATCCCCACTTAACATCTTGTGTGTACATGAAGTATGTTGGGTTTTTTTTGTGGGGGGTGGTACCAGGAATTGAACTCAGGAGCACTCAACCACTGAGCCACATCCCCAGCCCTGTTTTATATTTTATTTAGAGACAGGGTCTCACTGAATTGCTTAGTGCCTCACCATTGCTGAGACTGGCTTTGAACTCACTATCCTCCTGTTTCAGCCTCCCGATTATAGGCATGCACCACCGCACCAGCTATGAAGTGTTTTTTTTTTTTTTTTTAAGAGAGAGAGAGAGAGAGGGAGAGAGAAAGAATTTTTTTAGTATTTATTCTTTAGATTTCGGCGGACACAACATCTTTGTTTGTATGTGGTGCTGAGGATCGAACCCAGGCCACACGCATGCCAGGCGAGCTCGCTACCACTTGAGCCACATCCCCAGCCCCAACATACATACATATATATATATATACACATATATATATATATATATATGTATATATATATATTAGTTGTAGTTGAACACAATACCTTTATTTTATTTATTTATTTTATGTGGTGCTGAGAATCAAACCTAGTGCCTTATACGTGCTAGGCAAGCGCTCTACTGCTGAGCCACAACCCCAGCTCAGCTATGAAGTGTTTTAAAGAAAATCCCAGACATTAGGCTATTTCACCCTTACATACCTAGGCATGCAAATCTAAAGAACATGAAAATTTGTCTATGGCTATAATGCCATTATCATCACATCTAACAAAATAAACAATAACTAATTCTTTGGTATCCTCCAACACCAAGCCCATATTGAAATTTTTCCAGGTAACTCAAAAACATTTTTACAGTTGGTTTATTTAAATCAGAATCTAAACAAGGTATATACATTATAGTATATTAATATTCTGCATTTAATTTTCCTTTCCTCCATGTTATTGATTTGTTGAAGAAAATGAGTTTGTTTTCATATAGAATATCCTATATTCTGGATTTGTCTGTTTCTTCCTAGTATAGTTATTCCTCTATCTTCTGTATTTCTTATGCACTGGAAATTAACTATAAAAGCCCGATTAGATTTGGGGAACAAGATTACTTCATAGGCTGTTCTGTGTACTCATATTACATTGTATCAAGAGATACAGTAGCTGTTTCCTTCATTTTAAAGAAACCCATCAACTCTTTATGTAATGTTCTTATGATTATAACCTGAATCATTAATTAGAAGTGATAAAATAGTGGGGTTTTTTTTATCTTTATTTATTTATTTATGTGGTGCTGAGGATTGAATCTCATGTGTGCGAGGCAATTGTCTCCCATGTTATATATGTACTAGCTGTAATTCTTTTTTGCAGCACTTTCGTAATTAACTTGGGACTATTTAACTACCTGCTATATAATTTGAACCA